GGCTGTTTGGAAATCGTGATGTAATTTTCACGTCACAATGATGTTATCATCTCATGTTTGCCGTAACATGTAACTCTCCAAGTTTTCATTGTCGTAGCCTTAATACTCCTGGAATAACGGACCAGGGGGCGGGGGGCGGAAATTCATCTCCGGTTCTGCATGGTTTCAAAAGACCAAATAGGGTTAAAAAACTAACTTCCCTCCTCCTCCTCTTCCTCTTCCTCCACCCTCCTCCTTCTCTTCCTCTTCCTCCTCCTCCTCCTCCTCCTCCTCCTCCACACCCAATCAGTATAACCAAAACAAATGACATTATTTTTCAGGCAGGTGAAAAGATTAATACAACTTTATTTCCTAGGATAATTAAACCCCTCCTCAGAGCAAATGGGGGTGTAGATGTTAAACTTTTTTTCTTGTTGCAGTAAACGGTTTCACAATTTACCAGTTCATGCTGACCCACATGAGTGACGAAGACAGGTTTTCATCTCACAGGAAAGCTTTGTCAAGAGGTTTTGAATATTTCTGCTACATAAAATTGTTGGTCAAAATTGCTGAAGATTTGCTGCCTAATCCTGCCTACCATACTTCCTGATTAAATCAAAGTAATTTCACTATCCTAGTACCCACAATGTGTCCTTATGTGAAGTGTAGGAAAGGACTTTTGAAGTGATTGCACTATTTTTCTGATTAGGCAGTAGTCAAGAATCAGGTAGTGACATACACTTTCAATACTTTGGTGAGGATTCGCCAAAGAGATATATTGTTGTTTGATGAAGCTTATCCTGGCTGATGTGGTGCATTTTTTCTCCTGGCTTAGGTACTTGGTGGCTTCACTGATGGCGATATTATTCTGGATCACGACTCAGCTTCTGTTCTAAAAGATGCTCTGCTTATTTTGAGTAGCAAGGTAACAACTGGCACTAGCTAAACTTCTTTCACAACTTGTTGTACAAAGTTAGCTACTCCTAACAATACTGTGGGCAATACTATGTTCTTGGGCGAGACCCTTTACTCTTGCAGTGCGTCTCTCCACCCAGGAGTACAATGGTACTGGCGAACTGTTAGGGCTACCTTACAAAAATTCTGGGGGGTACCCTGCCTCGTCCCAGTCGCTCTCAAGCAGCACAGCGTGGCGGGGGTAATTGAGCACAGGGGGCACGGAGAGATGATGGGAAGGAGATGCAAAGCAAAGCTTTCGCTTTCCTATTTTTCTCCTTCTCATACATCCCCCGCTCTCGCGCTTCGCACTCGTTCCAAGCTCCCTCGCGCTTCCCACTCGCTCAGCTTCCTCACCGCTTTGCGCTCTCGCACAAATCCTGTGGAGGAGGAAGGGGGTACCTGTGATAAACTGGAGTTTATAATGTCAGCACTGTAGGGCATGCAAAAGCTTTTTTTCCATTGCCCACTGTCTTGTGTTTACTTTTTTACAAATTTCACACACAATCCCTGTGTATTTTGATTGCAGAATATCAAAATTTCCTCAATGAGAGCCAAAGCAGCTGAGGATCTTGCTGATGAGGGAGACATGGCAGGAGCTGCTATTGTCCAAGCTAGAAACAGTTTCTTACTCAGGTCAAGGCTGATTTGATGCTACCTTTATTGCTCTTGTGAGAGACGCAGTGTCCTAATGGTTAGCGCGTTGGACTCTGGATCGAGCAGTCTTGGTTCAAGCCTGGCCGGGGTCATTGTGTTGTGTTTCTTGGGCAAGACACTTTATTCTCACAGTACCTCTCTTCACCCAGGAGTATCAATGGGTACCGCGAATTGTCAGGGAAACCTGACAAAAATGCTAGGGGTTACCTGCGATGGACTAATATCATCCAGGGGAGTAGCGATACTCCTAGTTGCTTCGTGTCATGGAAACCAAAAGTTTGTTGGTGCTCGTGCTACAAGCCCGTCGAGCCACCAACAAAGTTTCTCTACTTTGACGAAGGTGGACAGAAGCCACTGAAAATTTAATAGTAAAATACAAACAAATTGGTTTAACAAACCCTTCAAAAAAATGTCTGCTATGTACCGTTTAACGAGCAGTGCAATTATTAGTTCCATGATGTCATTCATACAATGATGTTGGGGCCTGGTTTGTCTTGCATAACAGGTCCTCAAGAAGAACATGATTGAGAACATCATACCTATTATCATCGAGCTTAAACACATGGTGAGTACATGCAGATTGAAACTCCTTTCTTTGTATCATATGGTAAATAATGTAGTCGTACGGCGGGTGGTAGGTAAGTGAACTTGATTTTGTATAAAATTAGCACCACTTTTTTAGCAAGCATATGGTTGCCACAGGTCAGGGGGAAAATTCTTCAAGGTCAGGGAAAAGTCAGGAAATTTTATTTTGAGTAAAGGGAAAATTGACATTTTTGAAGAAAAGTCAGGGAAAATTGAAATTATAACACCACTTATTTAATACCATTGAACGCTGGAAGAAACATTTCAGGTCACAGCACTCACTGTGATCTCAACTATGTTTTTGCTAATGAAGAAGGCGATCTGTCACTGTCAAGGTTGTGATTTGTTGAAAACTTATCAGTCTTAAATAAATGGGTGGAAAGAACGGCTGCATTAGAGGAGGCTGTTGGCCTATTATATTTTATTTTAGAAATTTTACTTTTATAAGGGAAAAGTCAGGGAATTTTGAAAACTGATGTCTGTGGCAACCATAAAGCAAGTTGTTAGTTATTAACTATTGTTTTTCCTGCAAGCTTGTAAATGTTAAGGGCAATAATACCGGTATCACCAGCTTTCCTCTACCTCTGGACTGACCAGGCCCCAGTTGATCAAGTGATGGATAGCACTATCCACTGGATAAATCATTATCCAGTGGATAGCGTAGTTTGTTTAGTTTTACAGTTATAACTGGCCGGATAATGGATGATTGCATGTCCATCCTTTGAACAACTGGGACCAGGTGGATATACCAGGGATTCAGATTGTATTTTTTGTCTGTGGACTCACTGGGTAAATGGAAAATTATAGTTTGTTTGAATTTCCAAGAAAAAGATCAAGTGGAATTTATAAGATTGTAACTTGGTAGGCAGGTGGGGCCCCCTACCCCTCCCCTAAACCCACTACTATCCAATGCATAATAAGAATGTAACTGTTTATATTCAGGATTAACCCGAGGGATTAACCCCAGGGATTAACCCAGGGGATTAACCCGGGGGAATAAGCTAGGGGATTAACCCATGGGATTAACCCGGGGGATTAACACATGATCACTTCGTTGCACGACAGCTTGAAAAGCAGCATTCTCCACTGCTCAAAGACCTGATGTCCTGCTTAAAAGAAGTGATGAAAGATTACAGATCAGAAGTTCAGGATGTGTTGTCAGCAGACCGGCAGCTAGCCAATGAAATTGAGTTTGATCTCAAGAGGTTTGAGGAACAGCAGAAAGAACTCGAGGAACAACGGAGGAAGCAAAACACTCCAAACAATTCGCCACAGGTTTGCAAAACAAGACCACAGGGAACCCAGACAAACTGTTTGATTGTGTTTTTTTTCATTTTTATAGTGAATGTATGGGATTTACTGAATGGTTTGTAGAATTGTGAATAGTCTTGAAAAATATGAAAAATACCTACCTGCTGAATAAACATAAAATTGTATCTACAATAATTGTTATTAATTTAATAAATTTTAGGAACATGGCATGTGTATACTTTTTTCTTAGTTTTGTTTACCAGTTGTTTATTAGTTTTTTGTTTACATTGTTACGTAGGTCAACAACCAGACAAGCCTGCTTCAGTAGGAAACACCCCAGCTCAAGTGGCGGAGTTTGTTACCCCGCAGTTACGAAATGCCACACCTTCTCCCAACAATGGTATGACTAAATCTTGTCAAATAACAATACAGTTGAACCCCTGTTAAGCATCCACCCTCAGGGGTACGAGTGTATTAAGCTTTCATTTCTTCAACTGGCATATTTTTCAAGCATAGGTTGTGTGCAAGGCAAAGTCTTCACGGGCTTGGTGGCCCAATATCCAGGTTTCTGTTAGTAGTGCAAAGAGGACTATGAGTATTGCCACTCTCCCTGGATGGGATGCTAGTCCATTGCATGTGTCTGTAAATGTGTAATAAAAGGAGAATCAAAATGAATATTAATCATTCTGGTACATGATTTCACAAAAGGATCCAACAGACCGAATATAACTCCTCTTGCTGGAGCTATTAGCCAGATGAAAATCAGTCGACGACACACACTGGCCGCTTCTGACCTCCAAAAACAAGACCCTGACCGGACTAGCGATCTGAAGTCTACCCTGACTGTACCAATCAGTCCTCTACAGAACAAGCGGCGACACACACTCACTACTGAAGCTATTCTGAATTCTGCTCGCAAAGCTGTGGATCAAGCACACAAAGTCGCAGAACAGCAGAAGAGGAGAAGGAGCGTTGGTCAGATGGAAGGCCCTTGTGAAGATGGTGCTGTCACGGAGGGGCCAGAAAGACGCACACCTCTTAAGCCTACTAATTTTCAGAGCCTTTCCGAAGGAAAATGAAGAACGTGCAGCTTAGCACTCCAGAGGGTAATTTATCAATAAAAAGTTTCATTCAAAAAATCATTAATTGCATGCCATGTAACGTAACATTTCTACCTGAGATGCACAGATACCTTACAACCAAGAATGTGGTGGAGCTTTAAACATGCATTCATTCATCCATATCAGTGGTAAACTCAATTTTGAAATTCTAAGTAAGAATGAACTTACACAAGGTAACATAATTATGAGAAAGATGTAGTCGAACTTGTGTCATCGACAAATTAGTTGGTGTGAAGGTCATAGGTTTGACTCCTGTTGGGGGAACTCGGAATTATTTTATCTGAGTAGCTTGAGTCACTGACTGATCAAAATCTTTCTCATTGTGTTTCTACCAAGCTTAAAATTCACCATCATTCCTTTCCAAACATTTTCACTCGTCAACAAATCTAATTCTAACAGTATGCAGGAATTTTGTCACATTTGAACCTGGTTGTATGGCCTAGCTCCCACGAGTCTCCTGTAGTTCAGTGGTAAAGCATCCGACCAGTGCGCAGAAGCTCATAGGTTCGACTCCTGTTGGGAGAAGTTGGAACATTTTTTCTTAGTAGCTTCAATCACTGACGGATTATTATCATTCTCAATATTATTATTCACTTCTTGCTTTTGTGATTTATCTTAGAATCTGTTGAATTACATTTTATTGCAGGTGAAAAAAGCCATTTGTCGAGGATTTCATTTTGTGTGAATACAAGTGCAGCAGCGCCGCCATCCCCTATACCAAAATCATTACCTATTAGAGTGTATCCCAAGGACAAAGGTTGGTTGTGTATTACAAGGGCAATACATATATCTTATTAACCAGCCGCGAGGGCTGTAATCAAGTGCAGCGAGGTCCATACAGAAAAGACAGGGCCGACATTCTCCCAGTATGGCTGAGAAAGCTTGGTTAATAAGACATTTATTACACGACTTTGTGCTTAAAAATAACTGTGGAAATTAAACCATAACAATGTAAGAAACTTTACCCGGCCCAATACTTAGAAAATATCGAACCAGCAAGAAAGCATTCTGATTGGTTGATTTTAGTCTATTTAGTTTCTTATTCTTAGTTTTGTAACTTTGGAGAAGTTTAACTTTATTAAACATTAAACATACAATAGAA